GGGGCAGCAGAACTCTTTACATCAGTGCAGAATTCTGGGCGTGGGCAAGTCTCCTGCCCTCCTGGAGACAGGTGTCAGTGTAGGGTGGGAGTGCAGTTTCTACCCTTTTTCCTGTAGCCGCCAGCCTTTGCCTAGTACTGCCCTGCAGGGCAGTTTTCTGCCTCTCCCCCAGGGGGAGATAGCCTCGGCTTCGTATGAGAGAAGCGTCCCAGAAGTAGGTGTATTTGCTGCCTGCTCCCGACAGCACCCAGTCATATGTATCCCTGCACCACGAGGTGGGCTCTCTTAGGGCTTCTGCCCTGCTCTTTATTTCCTGTGAGCCCATGATGGAAGTTTGTGGAAAAGATCTAGAAAATAGGTACCTAGAGCCCTTATGTGGGAGGTTCCCAGGGATTCTAAACTCTCATCTTAACACACACTCAACCCTTTAAGAATTTGTTAACATTTCAGTTGTCTTCATTCTTGCTTTTATGACTGTGGCCTCTCCCCCCTGTCGCTGCTAAAGTCAGCCAGTTCATGTGTCCCACCTCTCCTTTGATGAGCACGTTATCCTCTGCAATTCAGTTCCTCTGGTTGAATTACAATCTCAGATCTCTGATGGGCCTAAAAAAGTTATGACTTTCTAGATTATCCAGATTTCTCTTATTGTTAGGGTAGGGGCAGAATTCTCCTGTGGCTGTCTACACCTTAGGAGGAAGCTGACTGATTTTTCCTCTCCCTGCCACTACCCTCTCTATTCCCTTCCTCTGCCTTATTTTTCTTCATAATACTTAAAACTATCATTACGTTATATTTATTTATTGCCTGTCTCCCTCACCAGAATATAAATTCCATTAAGGCAGAATATTTGCTTGTTTTGTCCATTTCTGTATCTCTGGCACATAAGAGAAACTCAGTAGAAGCTGTTGAATAAATGCATGCATAAATGCCCAAGACCATGACATTTTCTCCAGGATCTTGTATTAGCTTGTTTTCATAAGAATGTACTTCTTCTGATGCTGTTCTCTTTCCCTTGTTCTGCGATATTTTTCATATGTCCCATTTCGATTGTGTTCTTATTTATCTTTTAATCAAGCAAATCTGTTTGCCTTCAGTATCTCCATATGCCCCAATAACAACGAAGCGGGGGCTTGTCCTCGGGCTGCTCTCTGTCTACCTTTGATTTAGTGTATCTTTGCTCTCAGACCCACAGCTGGCCTGCAGGTGTTTCTGTGCTGCTGCCAGTCTGATTCTTCATCCTCGCAGGCTGTCATCCAGTGCATCTCTGCCCTACTGCAGAAGTTCCCCCCACCCCCAAGACCTGAGCCTTTGGTGGTCAGGGCTAATGTGTGCCTCACAAATAGCAAACTCTGTATTTCAGAGCATCGGTGTTCCCTTTCTGCCTTCCTGTTTGTTTTGTTGTGGCTGCTCCTGGCTCTTGCTGTTGTTTGAATAGTTTTTACTCTTTACTGCATTTGGAAGAGATGGTGGTGAGATGGAAGCTGGAGGGCAGGGGATTGGTCAGTGCTCTGCCTGCCTCGGGGAGCAGCGCATAAGGAGGGTAGATGGGGGGGCACCCCACTTCTCTGTTGGTTCCAGGCCATGTTATTGCTCTAAGGGCTGCACATCTGGCAGCAGAACCGGTGCATTCCCTTATCTTTTATAACGTGATCCTTTTTCATAAATCTGGAGTTTACTGTGTCTCTGAGTTGTCTGTTTTTGTTTTGTTTGCTTAACTGAGATCCAAATATGTTACAAGTAATGTTCATCTCTGCCTGACCCTTTGTTATGTTTTTCTGGGTTATCCTTTGTGAGGCTGCATTACAGCATGCTAGCCAGACACCCTGTTGAATGAGACCTCCTGCGCTACTACTTTCGAGGTTTAGGTTGAAGCTTTTATGATTAGGAAAATTCAAGTTCGTTAAATACGCTACTGAATTAGAAGTAGCTTCTTGTCATCACCTAGTCTTTAAATCAGTTTATATTAAAATTACTACTATCCCATGGTAACCCCCAATATATTCTGGTTTTGTAAAAAAAAAAAAAGTAAAACAAACTCTCTTCCATATCACTGTGCCAAAGACCTCATCCTATGGGATTATCATTTAGTTTCCTATCATCAAACCATTTCCATCTTTTCACTGTTAGTTTAAGTAATAATTCTGGATTAGAGAACAGAGATATTTCAGAAAACATAAAGAAATATAATTGTAAGACAACCTCAGTTATTCTGAAGGAAATCTGAAGGTTAAAACAGTAGCTGCCTTGATTTAATTACTCATGTGTTATCTGAGAAAAAGTTGATTAAAACAGATTTTGACACTTTTTATCCATTGGAACTTTAACTTCATTGGGAAAATGGTCCTGAGGGTGGTGACAATGTTGACTAATTGGCTTGTTCATCCCACATGGGATTACACCACTTTTTGAATCAGAATTTCCTGCTATTGCAACACATTTTTTTCTTTTGTTTTTTTTTCCTTAGAAACAATCCATTTGGGTTCATTACATGGCCATTTGTTAGTCTGGGGCATTGTACTTGTATATGACTACAATGAAGTAGTAAGCTGGGTCTGCCTGTATATACAGAGTCAGTGGGAGATCCTGCAGCTGCTCAGGGAACGAGGCAGTGCAAGGGGTCACCCTGATATTTTAAACCCAAAATCCTACTTTCCCGAAGTCCTGGGGCATTTTCCTGTTAATCATCAAGAAGATTTGTTCAACTTCGGTTTATTTATTTACTGTATGCTGTATGTAGAATCAATCTGTTGAGCTTGATTTTTTTAAGCTTTTTTATTGAAGTGTAATATTCTCAGAGAACATGCACAAATCCTAAGCGTATAACAAGATGAACTTTTACCAACTGAGTGCACCTGTGTAACCAGTACCCAGAAAAAAGAACGTGACCAGCACCTGGTCAGGAAACAGAACATGACCAGCACCCAGCAGCTCGACTCGTGTCCTCGTCCTGTCACTACCCCTCCTTACCATGGGTAACCACTCTCCTGTTTTGCTTGTTTTTCTATCTTACATAAATGGGATTATACACGATGTATTATTTCTTTCATTTTTCATTATGTTTATGAGATTCGTGTATTTATTGTGTATTGATTGTATCTGTTCATTCACACTGCTGCGCAGCGTTCCATTGGTCAGTACAACACACTATTCATTCTGCTGTTGACAGGCATTTGAGTAGTTTTCTTTGCGGGGGAGATGGGAGTTATTATGAATACTCTCTGAACGTTCTAGTATATCCCTTCTGGTGAAAGCATTCATATGCATCCATTCCTGTTGGAGTGTACCTGGGAGTGGAATTGCTAGGTCCTAAGGTGTTTGTATGTTCAGATTTAGTAGATAAGCCAGTTTTCCAGAGTGGTTGTAAGTATTTATACTCACACTTGATGTATGAGAGTTCCAGTTGCTCCACCTCCTCACCAATACTTTGTCTTTTTCATTTTAGCTATTCCAGTGGATATGTACTGAATGTGGTTTAATTTATATTTCCTTGATGATAATGAACCTGAGCAACTTTTAATATGATTATTAGTAATTTGTATTGATATATCCTTTTTTTGTGAATTGTCTGTGCAAGTTTTTTGCCCATTTTTCTATCATTTGACTCTCTTTTTGTTACTGTTTCATAGAAGTTCTTTATATAATCTGGATATGGGACCTCTGTTGAAATATTTATGGTAAATATTTTCTCTTCTGTGGGTTGCCTTTTCATTCCTGTAATGGAGTCTTTTGATGAACAAATATTCCTAATATTTTTAAAGTCCAATTTATTATTTTTTCTTTTATGGTTTGCACTTTTTTGTCCAGTTTAAGAAATCTTTGCCTACTCTAAGTTGACAAAGCTGTTCTATGCTTTCCTCTAATATCTTTATTTAAATTTGTAATTCATCTGACTTGACATTCATATACTACATGATTTAGAGATCAAGACACATACTTGCCATGTGGATATCCTATTAACCCAGCATCATTTTACTTGGTTTTTAACTTGTTTAAAATATGTCCATACATGGGGAGGGGAAAAGGGTAAGCTGTGACGAAGTGAGAGAGTGGCATTGACATATATACACTACCAAATGTCAAATAGATAGCTAGTGGGAAGCAGCTGCATAGCACAGGGAGACCAGCTCGGTGCCTTGTGACCACCTAGACGGGTGGGATAGGGAGGGTGGGAGGGAGACGCAAGAGGGAGGGGATATGGGGCTATATGTATACGTATAGCTGATTCACTTTGTTATACAGCAGCAACTAACACAACAATGTAAAGCAATTATACTCTAATAAAGATGTTAAAAAATAAAAATTAAAACGAAACAAAACAAAAAATAAAAAAATAAAATATGTCCATAAAATTTAGTTTCACTGAAATATTTTTTATATTTTCCTGGAGAGAATTACTAATGATTCTTGAAAAAATTTAAACCTATGGTGATGTAAAATTTATAATATAATCAACAGATTTATTTAACACATAAATTGAGATATTTCTTAAAGGTTCTTCTGTTTAATTAGACTCTAGTTTGTAACTCCAGCATACTTATTTATTCAACACCAGAGTGATTCATAATGCACAAAGCACAATAATTAAAAATAAATAAATTATTCTCACTTTTTCATTAGAATTCAATTCAACACATGTTTATTATTTGTCTGCTAGAATTTGGGACAGTTGAGAATATGGTTGAAGTTTTGAGCTCCATTTTTATGTCATTTAGGTTTTAAGCCATATAATAAAGTTGTCAAACATCTGTCAGTAATAAACCATTTTTCTTTAGTATTCAAAATTATATTAATAAAGAGAAGTACAAGGTGAGAAGTTTTATTACTATTAAGATGACCTTACACTGCTATACCAAGTTTTCCACTAGTAATGACACACATCTTTTAAAAAGTAAAAATAGAAAATATGCAAGTTTCATTTATATATTTGGAATGCCTATGACTGCTTCTTCTTTGATGTCATTTCTGCTCAGTTTTTTTTTTTTCTCTTTTTATTATTCTAGGTTGTACTGGTCAGTGGACATCTGGACAGCTGGGATGTTGGGCAGGGTGCGATGGATGATGGTGGAGGAGCCTTTATATCATGGGAAGCGCTCTCGCTTATTAAAGATCTTGGTAAGTATTTAGTAACTCATTAACCAACGTGTGAGAGTGTTAGTGGTGACATGTTTAACTCAATACACAGAACGCTCAACAGATTAGTTATTATGCCATGTTTAAAGATCCTCCTGAGGTCTGTATGTTTTTTGTCAGTTGATTCCCAGAAAAAAAACTAATTTGTCCCCTTAAAGAAAGAAATTTTTATTCAAGTGTCCACCAGACAGCCAAAGGATCAAATATGATCAGCCACGGGGGAAAATGAACAAGCAAATAAAACTGTAGCAAATGCAACCACATCAGCTAGAGATTGTGTAAGGAAACCATAACTGAGTGGAAAGAAAAATCAGCAGCTCCCCCACTTCCTTTTCCTTGTTTGTCTTTAAAGACATCATCAGGCTGTTAGGATAGCTTTACTGCAGTCGTCTTTCCATGATAGAAGTCAAGGAGCCAAAGTAGGCCTGAAGGGATGGTGCTTTTGGCCACAATAAGGAATCTAGGATGAAAAATTGGACCTTCCAGGTTAACCTAGACATGGGACAGGCATCAAAAGGAAAGACTAATTGTGAAAACAGTTTATTTTGATGACCCTATTTACAAACAAAAAACACGCATTTCCTCTTTGTGTGCTGGTCAAAAGGTGGATTTTGAGCGAGGTTAGAAATAATGAAACAGGCTGAAATGAGACTTCCGTGTCTGAATCAAACCAGTGGTGGTTTTGAAAATGCCTCATCAGCAGAACGTTTTATATTGTAACTGTGGAGCAACCTTGGTTTCAGATGTAGTAAAGATCAGAACATGCCTTTTGGTGAAGGTGTTCCATTGCTTACTTAAGTACACATGTGTTTAAATTCATGCATTTCCTCTGGCTTTTAATGAACCCTTCTAATCCTAAATCAGCCCATTAAATAATTGTTCATCTTAACTAGACTGCTGACATTGTCTTGGTCGAGGCAAATATTTGGTGTATCATTTTGCTTTATGTCTTACTTGTGTTTTAAAAATGGAGAAATGGGAAGGTGATTGTGCATGTTTTTAACTTCTGAAGAGGCCGGTGTCTCTCAACCTTGGCATTATTGACACTTGGGGCCGGATAATTCTTTGTTGTGAGGTGGGTCCCGTACGTTGTAGAATGTTTAGCTGCATCCCTGGCCTCTACCTACTAGATGCCAGTAACACCTTTCTCCCCCAGCCCCTAAGCTGTGACAACCAAAAATGTCTCCAGACATTGCCAAATGTCTCCGGCAGGTTGTGGGCGGAAAGGGTGGCACGTAAAATTGACCCACTAAAAGAAGCTATTAAAAATTTTCTAGGAGACCTGAATACAGGGTCGTTTTTTAAAAAATGAAACAAACTAATTGGAAAACTTACATTGTATATACTTATACTTTTAGCATCATTACCATACTGAGCAGCTACTATGTGAAAGCATTTTGTAAAAGTTGGGCATACAGAGAGGTTTAAAGTATGTCCTCTGTTCTTAAGACCCTTAGAACATAGTTGAAGACATACATATGCACCTACACACATAGTTATCAATAAAGATATAATGTCAAGTCTGCTTTTAGAATTGGGTAAGGTTTGAGAGAGAGAAATTGCCCAGCAAATAAAATCGAAAAACACTCATTCCTTCAGAGGAGATCTGGGAGACTCCATATGTGAATGCTCTCCTCCGCTAACCTTAAAAAAAATATTCCCTTGGCTATCTGTTCTCTCTGTCCTTAACTTCATTCCAGAATGAAGTGGGTTCTAGAGACGAGGCAGGCAAATATCCAGCAGTTTCCTCTTTACCGGGCACAGATATTTATTTTAGAAGTTAATTTTATTCCCAGGTGTTCCAACCAGCTTGACAGGAGGCAGAGTGGAGTGTAAAAAGAGACCTGGACCCACCTCAATTAGATTTTTAGGTCCCTCTGTGCCACAAACTACATTTTTGGCCTCGGGCAGGTCACCTGAACTCTCTGGACTTCGTTTTCTTCACCTCTGTTCAACTGTTAGCTTCCAGAGTATTTTTATCTGCTCTAGATTGGCATAAAAATTGTGTCTCCTCTACGCTTTGAACCTTACTTCTTTAGTACTCAGCATGGGACCCTAAATCACTGTTAATTGAGTTGAATTCAATTGCATGAATAAATGTCAAACACCACGCAAAGGTGAATTGAGTATCTTTCTCCAGCTCTGAAAGTATACTGACTTCAGTTGCCTTTGATAGCTAGTAATCAGTCTCGTTCAATTCAGGACTTAACTCTCCTATAGATTTCTGAACACCTATGTAAACACATGAATTCAACTCTAAAATAAAGACTAATATTTCTTTTGAGTAGGTGTTAAGAGGCAGCATGGCATACTGTTAAAAAAACACTCTGGAGCCAGAGTGCGTGGGTCTATCTCATAAGGTAGCTCTGAAAATTAAATAATCTATTCACATAATATACTTAAAATAGTGCCTAACCCAACCCAGATACACAATAAATTTTAACTATAATTATTTAATAAGCATGATCTGACAGTACCATATTTTTTTAAACCCCACACCAGCTTTGCCTCCTAACTTAATATGTTAATTGTACTGATGTAACTCTAGGGCCAGCTGCTATTGTATCCCTAAATATCCTTTCCTTTACTATTTAAGTCACCATCTCTTGTATGATGGAAATCCACTGACCCCTTCACCATTTTCCACTTTCGTACTAAATTTTCAAGAGTCTAAATTTCTCCTGGCCACTTCCTGCTTAAGTTGAAGGCCTAGAATCCGTGCTGTACCTCATAGCCTATGATTGCACCCACGGAGTCTTACTCTTTAATTTTAAAATTAAAATTAGATTGTGGATTTCTGTTTGTAGATTGTGTATGTCTTTTAATATGAAGAACTATGTCTAACGTGTCACATATGCCTTCTAGATGAAAATTAACGGTATACTTGAATAAGAAATAGCACTTTGGGCTAGAGGCCAAGAAATGGGTTCATAATTATATTACTTAATTACATTGACCCCAAACTGTTTAGTTGGTAAAATATGAAAGCTCTATGGGCAATCTCTTTTTCCAAGAAAAGTGAGATTCCTTCTGGCTGCTACTCCTTGGACAATATGTCATGCAGAATGCATGTCAAAATCCCTCAGTGGGGCTTGTTAATTGGAAGTGTTGGTCCAGTGGAACTTTCTGATATTTAGAAGTATTGTTCGAAGATTCATCCTTCATGTCTCTTCTCCTTTGTTCACTTCTTTCACTACTTTTATAGATTCACTCTTTTGCCCAAGCCATCAGCTAAAACCATATTCAGTTAATCTAACAGAAGAGATATTTGTGCTTTGCAAATATAACCAGTCATTCCTGAGTAACTGTCAACAGAAGGCTATTTGCTGTGAAATGCCATTGAATACTTTTTTGTGTTTGTGGTTTACTGGACTTGAAAGTGTTTATTTGAAATGTCATTTCCTGGAATGTTCTGGTGTCAGTGGACAAAGCCAATGGCCAAAGATCTTATGCTTCAAAATGTTCATTTGGCACTTGAATAATAAACCACCATCCATCCCCAAATTCTTCCAACTTTACCATTTTCCATGAAGTTAGAATTTTAAGTTTTCAGGCCTAAACAAACGGGAAAAGTAATTAACAGTACTACCTGGTTGTTGAAATGTTGGATATGTGTGAAACATCTTTTTAGAGAAATTTAAACGTGAGCATCTTGACTGTGATTTTTATACAGCTTTAAGTCTGTGTGTTAGAAAAATATTTTATTTATATATTTCTTCACTCATTCACTCAACAAATATTTACTGTGTACTGATTGCATGTCAGTTGCCAGATACCTGGTAACAGAGAGGAATGAGACTGGTCCTTGAAGTCTTAGAAGTAGGAGAGACATTTAATTCAAAACTTGCAATGAAATTGTTGTAAGCTCTTTAATTGAAATATGTGCACATTACTCCGGGTAATTGAAATATGTGCAAATTACTTCGGGCACCTGGTAAAGGGAGAGACCAGCATGGCTTGGCTGGGTCAGGGCGCCTTCACAAAAGTGATATTTGAGGTTTCTTTTATAAAGATAAATAGAATTTCCTGAAGCAAAAGGGGCACAATGAAGAATTCCCAGCAGATTATAGAGCTTCCAGTCCTGTGTATCATTAAAAATGAGGAGAAAACTGTTGACAGTAACAGTCATGGGATTGAGGGGGAAGAGAGGGTTCGCGGAATTGCAGGAGATACTCTTTTTACCTGATATATAATATTAGATTTTTGTGTAGTAAGCATGTGTTACTTTAGTAATTAAGAAAAAACTCTCAAAAGCCAAAAAAAAAAAAAAAAAAAATTCTTGGTCTTGCCATCGCCATAAACACTCTGTTAACAGGAACTACAGAGCCAGAGGTAGGAAGTAGGAAGAGTCATGCAGGAGTCACCAATGCCCAGAAGTACACCAGGCAACACAACCAAATGCGTGCTAAGGCTTTGGTAGGGTTAGAGTTTTATGTAGCCATTTCTAATGCACTGGGTTCCCTGTCAGAGGTGGGGATCCATCCAGGAAGAGGGTTTTCTTCTCCCAGGCCCTGGTCAAGCCTCCCTTGGAAATGTCTCAGGAAGTCCAATCCAGAATAACTGAGTGAGGGAAATGAAAAACTTCTAAGAAATAGAAACCTAACGGATAGAGCTAGAGCTAGAGCCTGAAGCCAACTTGGGACTAGCCCAGATCTAGAAAGGAGGTTCCATTAGAAAGGACCTCCTCTTGTGGTCAAATAAGTTTGGGAAACTCTCTCTTGGTAATTTCTTTTTTTCTTTTTTAACATCTTTATTGGAGTATAATTGCTTTACAGTGGTGTGTTAGTTTCTGCTTTATAGCAAAGTGAATCAGCTATACATATACATATGTCCCCATATCTCTTCCCTCTTGCATCTCCCTCCCTCCCACCCTCCCTATGCCACCCCTCTAGGTGGTCACAAACCACCGAGCTGATCTCCCTGTGCTATGCGGCTGCTTCCCACTAGCTATCTATTTTACGTTTGGTAGTGTATATATGTCC